ATTGTAGTTCCATTTAATTTATGCTATTTTATATAGGTTTCATTTTCACTTTTGACCTTTAATTTATATTATTTTGTATAGGTTTCATTAGCACTTGAATTATTAGTATTATATTCTATTCCGTAAGTATGGCTATTGACAATAATTTTTGGCTTTTGGATAACCAAAAAAAAAAACAGTATAAGTCGGAAAATACAGAATTAACCTATTATGACGCGTTACAAAGTCACATATTGGAAACAGCTGGTGGATTTGACTATACTGTTGCAATATCAAGATATGTAATTTAAAGGTAACAAAAGCTTAGATATACAAATAAATTGACACGTAACGCAGAGAATTGAATACTCTACATTAAAACAATTTTGAATTTGTAAATCAACAAGTCACGTGGTAACTACAGCCGATATAAAGTTTCGTTGGAACGGCATGTTTTATAACTACACTTTGAGATTGCTTGGTGTTACGTAGGTAGTGCGATGCCACCAAAAATTGCTCGCTTTTTGGTGGGGTATAAGAGAGCCCTTTCCAACGTAAAATATTCATACACATAGATCATAAAGATGTGTTCAGATCGAGGGTGTAGAATTTCCAAGAAGAGGATATCCTTTGTATGTAATAATAGAAAACTAAGAATATGGATCAGCTTGGGACACCAGGATCGCCAAGAAAAAGATACCCGAAAAAACTCCTATCACAGCTGTGGTAAGTGAAGTGCGGCGTTTTGAAACAGGTGAGAATCTATGATTGCACAAGTCAGTGGCAAAAGCTGTCTTCGCGTCTCAGACGAAAGTACTCAACAAAATCAAGAATCACGTATACACAAGTTACTTCCACTACATATCCGTCCAACCGTCGCATACCTCAAACAGCTGGCGAATAAAGTGGGTATTCATGCCATTCCATACATATTAGTCAAGTAGAAGAACGCAGCACCTATGAATTTATGCACGATTGGACTGTTGAAACGGATGGTGGAAAACATTGCTCTCGTTCATTAGATGGGTTGTGAAAAGCAACAAGAAGTAATGGTATAATTTTGACATGACAACCTTATGATCGAGTCTTTTGAATGGAAAGTACGCTGCAGAGCTATTGTTAAGATGTTTTTTTGTGTTTTTAGTACAAAACCACACTATGGGCTACCTGCGCTCTGTCCACCGCGGTGAATCGAACTCCTCATTTTAGCGTTGTGAGTCCGTAAACCTACCGCTAATCCACCGGCTGTCAGTCGCCATGCAGAGCCTAATCGGACGTATTGACATGGACTGGAAAGACGTGATGAGGCTCAAAAATCGTTTAGATATAACGTACTGAACGTCTGTTAAAGAAGATTCTAAACAAAAATTTACTCATTGAACTATTGATTATTGTAAGTTCTTAGAATAAAAACTTTGTAGCTACGAGAAAAGATTATTAATCAACTTTGACTTTGTGTGAAAAGTTATTTTACAACCTTAGTTTGTAGCAGTGGGTTTGTTGCAATATCAAACTATTATGTGACACTAGGCTGTTGATCAAGAGTCTATACTTCGTACGAAAAAAAATATTCTAAAATGTGTTAACTTGAACTAAATCTATCGTAAGGTGTTTAATTAAATGTAACTGGAAGAGAAACATAAAACTTTGAGTGCTTATGTATGTAAGGATTTGTAATTTCTAAATCAAAGATTAAATCAATGTTGGGACATTACAGAAGGCTGGAGTTATATTTAAAAGCTTGAAATGCTAGGGAGGATAAACACGCTCCAGCAATTATAGGTTTAACCAAGACATGCAAGTGTTGAAACTAAACAGTATCTATTTCAACTTAGTAAAGTAATTTTATGAAAGCTCAAATTATACCTACATCCCTTTACAATTTCCTAATTATTAAAACACAAAATGTGAGATTTCAGTGGTTAGTTTGTTTCAGGTTCACAAAATACACCATTAGATGATCTTCGCTATAAAATACCTTTATTCAATATTTTTTCCTACTTCCATTAAAGCTGAATATATTAATTGAGTAAACAAAATAACGTCTATAAACAGTATATAAACATATTTTCTCAAATAAAACTTTGGTTTTAAACACAATTTAGACATTTTCTATCTGCAAATGTTAAACTTAAATTAAACAAATGGTTTAATGTTCTTTACGATTAATATGTCTATTCTCGTGCTCATTATTTAGACCTAACTTCCAAACGAGACATTATATTGCAGTTGCGAGTGTAAAGTAGGCTTAATGTGACTTAAGCCTATTTTTCAGTTGTCCGAAATGTTTTACAATAATATCATATAATTTTAAGATATTACGCATAGAATCTGAATGATATTTTTATTAATTTGCTTTAGAAAATAAAATTAATTAATGAACATTTTTAGTTGTTTTTTTTTACATTTCTTTTCCTACTTTTTTCACAGAGGATATTTTAACTAATATGAACAATGTTCACGACATGCACACATATCTAACTAAATTGCTTACTAATTCTGAGACGTGGCTCTTCTACATTACACAGTATGCAGCTATCGAGAAGTCCTACACTAATAATAACTTCGTTAAAGCTATCCAAACTTTTACAAAACACTATTGAATTAAAATATTTAGATAGTGAAAGAGTAGTGTTAGTGGTTTAAGCCATTATTTTAGTTATAGCACATCAATACACGAACATCTGCATATATATCTTTCAGAGAGAGCAGTTTTTTTTACATGTATATTATGATATAAAATAGGTGTACACGCTATGAAGAAAGGAGAACAATCGATAAAGGTTACTTGGCCGAAACTCTGACTGGAGAAAGTGACGTCATTGGGCTTTGATGAAGTTACTCTGACCAATACGTTTGTTACTTGAAATAAATAAGGAAACTGTTAGTTTCTGCAAAAAGGTTGTTTGGTCAAATCGCTCACCCTATGAAATTAATGGAAACAATAAGGTTCTGAGAAAAAATGTTTAGTCATAAGTGAAATGAACGGAAAATCATAGGATTCTGATGAAAACCCCTTGATGGAAGTTTGTGAGGAAAACAACTTTCAGTAGACCACACAGCTTGTTTGTGAAAACAACAACAACGATTTTCAGAAGCCTACAGAGTTTGTTTATAAAAGAAACAACAACATCATCGATTTTCAGAAGCCTACACAGCTTGTTTGTAAAAGAAACAATAGCATCGATTTTACAGAGAACGTGCATCTTGTATGTAAAAGAAACAACAACATCGTCGATTTTCAGAAGCCTACACAGCTTGTTCGTAAAAGAAACAATAGCATCGATTTTACAGAGAACGTGCATCTTGTATGTAAAAGAAACAACAACATCGTCGATTTTCAGAAGCCTACACAGTTTTTGTGAAAGAAACAACAACGACACTAATTTTCTGGAGACAACATATCTTGTTTGTGAAAGAAACAACAACGACACTAATTTT